TGGATTTTAATTTATGTTCAAGGAAGGATTGACAACAATTTCCACATTCCCATCTGAAAGCGTATGTTTCCATTTATTTAGGACTTGTTTTATGTTCTCCTGTACATTTAAAAATTTTTGTTTAGAGTTACATATACTTTGTTGAATTTATTTATGGAAATTTATTTTGTTATTAATGGGATTCTTTTCTTGTATTTATTGACAAGGTTTTTCAGCTCAAAATAATGCTTTTTCCACATGACGCCTTTCATTTCTTTTTCTTCAGTTGTGTTTGCTAGGTTTTTTGCAGAATAGTGTTGAATGGTAGTTGTGATGGAGGTCTTCCCTTCCTCGTCCCCATCTTTAGTTGGAATAGTTTTAGTGTTTAATGTGCTTCCTTGCATTTATTTGAGATAAATCTTTATTCTTAAATGGTCTCTTAGTTTTACTTTTGCTAAGAATGTATAAGGAGAGGCTGTTGAAGTTTGCAAATCCTTTTCAACATGCAACAATGCTCACGGGGTCCCCCCCTCCCCCCTTTAATCGATCATACAGAACAGTCCACTGGAATTGGTGTATCTTCCTTGTATTTCTGGAATAGGCTTTCATGGTCATGGGCTATTTAGACTTTTCTAGATTGGATTTATTAAACATTTTTGCATATAAGTGCAAACAGATGTTTATTGAACACCTTCTCGGTGCCAGTCCTGTGAAGATAAAATACAATGATGGAAAAGACAACAACAAGAGGCCTTGCCCTCGGGGACTTTGGGTATAAGTGTGGGCACTCTCATTTCTACTGGGTTCATGCATCTTCAAGCACATCTCTCATTATATGGGTAAATTGTTATTGTTGGCCTTTCTGGGCTGTTCTTGGAGAGGTTCCCCCTCGGCCTCAACATTTCATGTGATCGTATCAGGCAAAACCTTTAGCCGACACCTTTTTGATGCTTTCATCTCAGCCACCTCCAAACCTGTATCTTCTGTTTTCTTCAACGGTAGGCGTGGCTGTTGCCATGGAGGCAGAAGCTGGACTGGGGAAGTGGGGGCGAAGTGGGTAGAGCAGTTATGCTTTTGATTGGCCAGAGGCGCTGTCACAGGACGAGTTCACCTGGGATCTGGGTCTTCCTGAGGGTAAGGTGAGTATGGGGCCCTGGCAGGTACTAACTCAGCATATCTGGCCCCACTCTTAGTTGCCCTTTGGACTGCAAATGGAGGATAGAGTGAGTCAGGGGTAAGGGTTGGGTCACCTGGCGAACAGGGCACCTAATCTCATCTCACAGGGCTCACCTGCTATCAGGTACCCCTGTAGGAGGACGTTGACCAGTGTTTCCTTTTCCTGAGTTTGATTCTTGGTGACTCTGGTAGGACTGCAGTTATATAGTAACACCTTGACAATGTAATACTTCTCTGACATGTGCTTGTCCCTTCCCGTGGCTCCATGTGTAAAATGGTGTCACCTGCCGTCATTTACTCCAGCAGCTTTTTAGCACTGCAGGTGTTAGCTTTTTTATAAACTGGAAATTAGATATACATATAAGGACTTAGTTGTAGTGGGCAGCCAACTTTTTAGCTTTTATTTATTTATTTTTTTACTAATATTTTATTTACTTGACCATCCTTAGATGGAGACTTGCTGGTTCAAAAGGAGTGGGCATCTTTAATGTTTTTAAACCATATGCTAAAACGGCATCCAGAAACATGGTTCATGTCTGCACCAGTCAGCTTCTCAACAACATCAGTTTTTCTTTTTTCTTTTTCTTTTTGAAATATGTGCCCATTTGATAGGCCAAAAAAATGTTCACTGTAATATTTCACATTTCTTTGATTTCTGATGTAACTGTTGGATCTTATGCACTGATTTTATGAACTGTATATTTTTATTTTCATGTTGAGACATTTATCTTTTTTTTACTGCTTTCTAAGAGCTTTTCATGTTTCAAATATTAACTATCATCTATTTTGCAAAATATTTTTCCCCCTCCTCTTCTGGTTTGTCTTTATTTTGGTTGCTTTTTACAGTGCTGCAGAAAATTTGTTACCCATTTTTATTTTCATATCTGCTGAGTAGTGGTCTTTCAGTGGTCTCTGCCGTTGGAATTCTGCTTGAGCATTCTCCTCCTGTACCTGTTTTTTGCTGTTGTAAACAGTGCCTCTGTGAACACACTTGAGAACTGTATCTTTGTGCACATGGACAGATAGGTCTATCAGTTGGGTTTCAGAGGCAGAATCCCTAGGATAGGGGATGGCATTGCATTTATGTACAAATAGTTGCTGGAAACCTGAGGAATATATTCATCTTATAGCTGCAATTTCCATTTGTCATTCTTGGGTATCAGAAGTTCCAAAGTTGATTCCTTGGGGTTTTTCTAAATTGACTGCCATCTGATTTAGGGTGTGACCTTGGACTCCAGCAGGGTGGGATGGACAGGGGAAGGGAGAAGACCCCCTCAGTGTTAAGGTGTCAGTGTTGTGTGCACCCACTCAGTGGGCCACACAGTCTCTAAGGCCTCTACTAGTGCTTTTGTTTATTGTTTTAACTTTGAATTTATTTTTTTGACTAGGTAATACATGCTCATGGTAAAAATAAATAAATAAAAACAAAAAACAAAAGGAGAATATACAGTGAAAAAGTAAGTTTCCATTCTCTCCCTGGCCCCCAGTTCCCTTCCCCAGAGGCAATCACTGTTAATCACTATTAATAGTCCCGTACATATCCTTACAGAAATTGTTTAAGTAAATGCATCTGTTTTTATAGTTTCTTAGAATGCTATACACATTGTCGTGTCCCATTTTGCACTTAACTACCTTAGAGATCATCTCATATCCGTTTATTTACAATTGCCTCATTTTAAAAGGTTTCATAATCATTACATGAATATGTACCATATTTTGTGCATTGTCAGGAATGCTTCAATGAATATATTTTGCACATATGTCATTACATATCTCTGGGATAAATTCATGGAAATAGAATTTATAGGACAGGGTATGTACATTTAAAATTTTGATAAGTTATCCAAATTGCCCTCCATAGAATCTACACTGCCACAAGCACTATGTGAGTATGCCAGTTTCTTCGTACAGACATATTTATAGTCCATCTTTATGATTACTCTGTTCTCAAGGCCCTTTTTTACTCTCAGATCTCAAATGAATTTCCTCTGCCATTGTGGGAAGGAGTTGTTAGTGTCTGATTCTTTTCTTAAGGTTTTCCTGTTAAAATTTTTTTTAATTTTTTTAATGCTCTTGCCGACCAAGGGCTGTTTTGTTGCCCTGGTTAGAAAAATCTACGAGCATATTTAATGAAGATCGTTTTTGTTTACTCTAGTCCTGAATTTCTTGAGGAAAGAAATGAGTGAATGTTTGGTGTAGAACTTGGCATCTACCTTGTGATAGGATTCTTAAGGGCATTTAAATGGTCATATTATTAATGAATAGAAAGTCCTCCACCTCTTTTCTGTGTTCTGGAAAGGTTTTTATAACATGGTAAATTCATTGCTCATGGAAATTTTATGGGAGGTGGCTCCTTAAATCAGTTCATCTTTTTAAATTTCTTCCCTAGATTTTCCTCTGCTTTCTGATCAGGTTTGCCTATTTATATGGTCTTAGAAAAACTGTTGATTCCCTATCAAACTTTTTAACCCTGCAGTTCTTATATATATAGTTTTCGCTTGTTGGTGCTTTATGTTTCAAATACGTGCCCACTGGGAAGAAAAGTTAACATAGGAAAGAAGTACATATATGAAGTCAAAGTTATCCTTTATATCTCCTGATTTTATTGTCAGGTTCAAAGAGCCCTTCTCTGTTACATAATTCTAAAAAGTAATCTTTTATTTGATTTTGATTGTAGTTTTAGCATTTTTATATATAGTATGACCTTTTCCCCTAAGTGAATGATTGGCTAGTTTTCCTGTATACCATTCACCAAAGTAATTCATACATTCCTTACTGGTTTGTAAATGCTACTTTTCATGCCACTACTGGATACTCAACTACATATGGTCAACTGAGACTAAAATTCCTAAATGAATCCTTTTTTTTTTTTTGTCATAAGTTACAAGTGTATCTTTTTTGTTGTTCTATTTCTTTGGCTTTGATAGTATAAACAAAACCATCATTTGTTATTTTTATGTAGTCTTTCTGCCTTTAGGCATATTATAAAAGAACTTTCTTACCCTGAGATTATGTTAAAATATTTTTTAAATGTTGTGTGTGGTTTGTTGGCCTTTTGATACATGAATTTTTAAAATATTGATCCAGGTCAACTTTAGAATCATTACCAAGTTCCCCAACATTAATATTCTTTGAAGTTCCATATAGTATAGATTAATTTGGGGGAGGTTGTAGAACTTTGATACACCAGATCCATACATCCCCCATGATTATATTGTGTCTCTCCAGTTATTGCCTTTTATTATTATAATTTGTAATTCTATTCACATGGTTGCTGTTGTCTTTAATTAAATCTTTATCTTTGTAATGGGAGTTCTGTTCCCATTTTTTAAAATTTATAATTGCTGATACATTTTTAGGGAGTCTGTTATAAGTGATTTCCTTATTACATTATTGTAAGGTTTCTTTGCATTGATTCACAGTATCTGAATGGGTAGTCTTATATAAGTGAATGATAGTTTTAGATCTTTTTTTCTTTATGCCTCAGATTTTTCTTGCCTTGTAATTGGTTAGAACTCTGTAGAGTCATGTTCAACAGTGATAGTGTTAAAGACTTTTGTGTCTGCTTTTATAACTGAGTTTGGTCTGTGGTTTGTTAGTGCTAGCTTTGTCTTGGGTTTTGAATTATTCTGGTTTCATAAGACAATTTGAAAGCTCTCTATTTCTCTTTGGTTGGTTTATATGACATGGGAATTAGCCTTTTCTTGAATATGATATATAAAGGCCTCACCTCTAATGCTATCTGAATTCACAGCCATTTGGAGAATTAATTCTCCGACACTCTTTTTACATTTCTTCCATGTTTATTTGTCCATGTATTTTTTTTTTCCTTAAAATGTCTGCAGGTCCCTGGCATTTTGACTCTGTTCCTGTGGATAGCTGCTTGTTCTGAAGTTCAGGAAGGATCCTATTCCCAAACAGGTATCCTGTTGCCTCTGAGGAGTTGGACTAGTGTTTTCTAGGGGACTGGAGTTTTCTCTGGAATCTGGATGCCAAAGAGCAGACTTGGGCTTTCTGCCCTTTCATCTTTGCCATTCAGGCATGCTGCTTTTTGAGAACTCTGCTCTTGTCAGAAGCAATCCCTCTTAGCCAAGTCCTGGATAAAATGGACTGTTCTTTCATCCAGAGTATCACACCAGTTCCCCAGAGCCTGGACATTTGCTCTTTTCCTTTCCCTGCTTTGCAAGTCTTCTGTCCGGAGGGGTATTAATTACCTAGAGCCTTCCTCTCTGTTGCTACCTGTCCTCTTCAAGGAGGGCAGGGCAGTCAGGGAGGCAGTGCTTCATTCACGAGGGTCTTCATGATGTATGTGTGTTTGTGAGGACAGTGGTGGGAGAGGGCATGGGAGGGAAGTTTGTGCATGAGTAGAGTGCAAGCCTATCACTGCCAGGGGAACCCAGCATGGCAGAGTTTGCTACATTTATTACCAAATAATAAATTAAACACCTTGTTTTCTCTTCAGACATTTAAAAAAAACCTTAATTTTAAACATACTGATTTCCTTTTAAAACAAAAGCAGAGAATTTTTGCTGCATATGGTTTTGTTCTTCTCTGGAAATAAAGCCAGAAGTACAAAACTATCAGGTGAGTTAATTGACCCACCCAAACCTAGATTTTGTTCCCACAGTGCCTATTTCCTTGTACCATTTGTGGCTGTCCACAAGGAGAAATGTGTAGCCTTAACTGGTTACATTAGAAAAAAGATGAACATCAGCTTTTATACTCAGTCTAAAGGGTTTTTCTAAAAAGAGGGGGCAGATAATAAAAGAAAAATAAAGACAACTAGGGAAATAAATGAAACAGTACAAAGGATTATCAAAGATGGTTCTTTTGAAACAAACTTTGGCAAGATTGGTAAAGGCAAAAGAATGTGAAAAGAATGTGTAATAGCATGAAGAAGCCTGATGGCCCCTTTATCATATTCTTACTGTTTATGTGAATAATGTATGTTTATCACCTGTATAGGGTTTCTGTGGCTTCACCAATATTGTGTTTAATTTCCCCCCAGTGTACTAGGCAGCATTGTAAGAGAGCTTCACACATACCCACCAGGGTTTCCCACCCAGTTGTCTGGGTATAATGAGAAGGGGCTGGTAGAAAAGTGGGCAGGTGAGGGGCATGGCACACCAGAATGCTCTTTTGGAAGCAGTGGCATACAGGTTAACCCAGGATGTTCTCTCTCCCCAGAAACTTCGCTGTGCTTCTGCAGGCACGTAGTAACACATGCCTGTATCTAAAATCAATTCTAAAATGGGTTTGTATATGTTATCTTCAATACATTATTTCACTGTTGATACCTGACTTTGTGTCAGGCAGGCACTAGAGGATAAGGGATAGAAAAGTTAATCTCTGATCCATTTAATAGATTTTACGGCTGGCTGTGGGAAGAGGAGCACATAAATTCCAGTATTTAAAAATAAATGTGACGAGTACTTGCAACACCTAAGAGATAAAATACAGCTCAGGAAACCTACCTGAGGAAGTGGTGTTAGCAGAACCTGAGGCTGGGTTCTGGGACAAGCACTCATCAGAAGCATGTGCAGTGCTGAGGGAAGGGATCCTGAGCATACCTGCAAACTCTGCCACTCTGGCCAGTAGAACCTTTGGCAATGATGGAGATGTTCAGAAATAATCAGAAATGGCAGGTTTGGCCCTCGTTTGTACCCCCTTTTCCATTTTTGCTGAGAAAAAAATCGACGTCCAGTTACAGTAATGGCTAGCACCTTGAGCATTTCCCACTTGTGGACATTGGATAGTTGGGCCTTTAGGAATATTAACTTATTTAATCTCACAGTTTTAAAAGGGCTGAGGGCTTTTGTTCCCCTTGTGTAGTTAAGAGGACAGACTCCACTCCAGGACATTGAATAGTTGCCCACGGTCACAAAACCAGCTAGTAGCAGAGCTAACTCTCAAACAGGTCTTAGTGGTGCCCAGAGGTCATGCTTGTAGCTCCCGTGTGAGGCCAACTTTGTGTGCTGTGTGTGTGTGTGTGTGTCTGTGTATTGTGGGTTTATGCATTTCTGCCCCTTTGGCCTATTCACAAAGCATTGTTGATGCCCCATGTAGGGCAGCCCCATACTGCTGCCTGATCCTCAACTTCTGGGACATGTGTATATCTCCTTACGATCTACAGGTCCCTGAGTACTGACTGTCACAGGCTGCTGCGTCTTTCCTGTTGACTCATGTTTGGTTCCTCCAGTGAAAATTTTACTTAGAAAAATGCTGCCTCCAAAGTACTTGTCTGCCACCAAACCCAAGAAGTCTTGGGCCCCAGATCTGTATGAGCTAGACAGTGACTTGAATAAGGAGCCGGATGCCACCATAAGAGAAGGTGCAACTGACCCTGAATTCTTTCATCAGAGGTTTCGGAATTTCCTCTACGTGGAATTTGTTGGGCCTCGGAAGACGCTGTTCAAACTCCGAAACCTCTGCCTCGATTGGTTGCAGCCGGAGACTCGCACCAAGGAGGAGATTATCGAGCTCTTGGTCCTTGAGCAGTACCTGACCATCCTTCCAGAAAAGATAAAGCCTTGGGTGCGGGCAAAAAAGCCAGAGAACTGTGAGAAGCTAGTTACTCTGCTGGAAAATTACAAGGGAATGTATGAGCCAGGAGGTGAGACTTTATAGAAGCATAGTGAAGGCCGTCGGGGAGCTGTGAGCTCCCTGGGGTTTGCGGCCTCAGCATTGTTGGTGTTCGAGGCTGGATCATTCTTTCATGTGGGGGGCTGGCTTGGTGTGGGACATTCAGTGACACTTCTGGTCCCTCTCTACCACAGGATACCAGTTGCACTCCCTCCCCAGCTGTGACAACCACAACATGATGTTGACAAATGTCACCTGGGGAGTAGAATGCCCTGGTTAAGAAAAGCAACACTTGCCCTGGAAGGGCAAGCAACACTTCTTTGAGGGCCTCCGTGAGGAACTGGTGAGCCTCTGTGGGCCTCACAACCCTGGTCCAGGCTCCCTTTTGTGAAACAGAGGGTGTGTTACCCCAGGAAGCTGTCGGTGGCCGCTGTTTAGGGGTGAGGTGGGGGAGCAGTTGCAGCCGCTTGCTGGCCCAGTAGCAGGAGGAGGCTGAGGAGTGAGAGGATCTGACCACTCCAGCTTCCTGTGGAGGTGTGGGTAGTGCAGTAGGGGCAAGGGCAGACTCCACTGGGGGAGCTGTTTCGAGAACACAGGCAAGACGTGATAAAGCATTAAGTCAGTGTCTGCTGTCCTCTCAGACGACAACAACAGTGACCTCCGCAGCGAAGACAGCATGAGCCGGAAGGGAGCAGAGTCCCCGCCACCACGCTCCGCCTCTTCTTTCTGCAGTGAGTAGTAACCCTGTCCGGCTATGCCCCCCGTTGGGGCATGCTTCCAGACTTCAGCCTAGCTTCCCCTTTCACCAAGCCTGCTGCATGGCATAAAAGTGCACGGTGGGCATGAAGCCTTCAGTGAAGACAGCAGCACCTTCCCCAGGGCAACTGCAGCTACTCACAGATCTGAGGGAAAGTAAATTAATTGATGACATAATGAGACATTTTTAATATCAAAGAAGACACCAGTATATGGCATGAAATACAATTTTCTTTTTTTTTTTAAAGATTATATTCATTTATCTGAGCGAGTGAGTGAGAGGAGAGAGAGGGAGAAACACCTGCTGAGCAGGGAGCCCGATGCAGGGCTCGATCCCAGGATCCTGGGATCATGACCTGAGCCGAAAGCAGTCGCTCAACTGACTGAGCCACCCAGGCACCCCTACAATTTTCTTTTTAAGTAATGAGATAGTATTTAAAGCTGTTGGAAATTTGCAGCAGGCTGTTTGAAGGTATGCCCACAGCCTCCCCAAGAGGGGCAAAGTTCATTACTACTTTGTCTCTAAAAGTTATTTTATTTGTTAAAGGTTCTTCAGTGAACTTTTTAAAAAGGAGGTTTGCTTTAGGAGAGGGCATGTTTTTTGTTTCTTTGGAGTAGCGTCATGTATCCATTAAGATTGTCAGGCGTACGCCCAATAGTAGAGGGTCTGAAGTCATTGTCCTGAGTGTGGGCTTGACTATGTAGGAACTGGAGAACCAACAGAAGTGTTTAAAGGGAAGCCAACCTCTAAACCAACCTTTGGAACTTGCTTTGCAGTATGCCCCACTTAAGCAAAGCCTCCAGAAATGGTGTTCCAGGTCTAGGGTGATAGGAAGAGCCCAGATCATGCTTAGGAGTCTGGGGACCTCGGTGGGAGATCCATTTCCTCAAGGGAGGAGCAAGAATGGTGTTCCTTTTCCAAGTGGTATGTGTGCACATGAAGGGAGAACACATGTGTCAGAGCATTTTGTTAACTCCTTGAATGTCTGGCTTTCTCAGGTGACCGGGACCGGGAATGGGACCAGGACTGGGACCGGGACCGGGACCGGAATCGGGACTGGGAGCTGGATTGGGGCCGGGAGCGGGAGCGGAGAGGCAGAAGCAGAGACCTGGAGTCTCGAGACCGCTGGCCATACACCAGGAATCCCAGAAACAGTAAGTCACACGCTCTGACATCCCTGATGAGCGTGTAGGGTTAGATGGGCCTCGTTACTTCACGATGCCTTTTCTCTTCCCAGGACTTCCTCAACGGGATCTTTCCCTTCCTCTGATGGAGAAGACAACTTTTGCGATGGAAAGAGAGCGCAAGCGTAGGGACTCTGTGATGGATTATGAGTCAAGATCCCAGGTATGCTTAGGTCTCCTCTCTTTCTGGAAAGGCCATCTTCTTTTCATGGCAGAGATGCCTTTCTTTCCCAAGAGGGTGTGTTCATCTCCCTAGAATCCCAGCTGGGTGTAGGGAGGGGGCAGTTACTCTCTGCAAGGAGCCCAGGCCTGTCCCCAGAGGTGGCAAATGGTTGGGGTGACTCCTGCCTGTTTTCTCATTTATCCACATAGTCAGAGGGTTTTCCACTCAGCATCTGAGTTGTGCTTTGGTCACGTCGGTTGTTCTCTATTGGGCCAGGGAAACAGAACTATTCTGGAGATCTTTCTGGCTGACCCACTGTGGGGAGCCAGGGAAGTGGCAAAACCATACAGCAGACTGGCAAGTGAGAGCAGAGGCTCTGGAGCCAACGAGAGCTGGGTTTGAAGCCCAGCTCTGCCACCTGTTGGGTGTGCAGCCTTGGACCACTTACTTAAGCAAGCTGAACCTCAGTTTCCTCATCTGCAGGATGGATGTGGCGATTGGCTCAGCAGGGCTGCTGGGAGGAGTGAGTGCAATATGTATATGTGAAGTGCTTAACGTGATGCCTGGCATGTGGTAGGCACAGCTCTCAGCTGTTAATGGCAGTAATTGTAAGAGGCAGTGTGCTGGGGAAGTTGGTGAAGGGAGAAAGGACTTGGGATTTGAGGTGACCTTTAAGGAGAAGGGTCACTTACAACATGGCATTGTAAAGGGCTTGAGAGGAAGGGGGGTAGCTGAGTGCATGGAGCATGCATCTCCTCTTACTATTAAGGACGTCCCCCCAGGTCAGGGAGTACAGTAGTGACTGAGATAATTAAGGTCCCTGGATGCCCTGGAAACTTTGAGCCTTACAACAGAGAAGGGCATTCAGCAATCCCACAAATAAATTTCCATATAAATACCATATGTGACTGCTTATTATACAGAGTGCTGTTAAGGAAAAATTGGGAGTTATAACAGGAAATTGTCATGGGAGTCTTGGTTTGGATAGGAGATATCTTGAAGGCAGTAAAATTTGACATCTGAAGGACAGGAACAGTTGGTTAGGTGAAGTGTCGGGGTCAGGAGATCCCAGGCGAAGTCCCCAATGCGGGAACCGAACAAAGGCCAGGTTGGCCAGAACACAGAGGGCAAGAGACGCAGGACAGCCTGAGGCATGGGTAGGCCTGGTCACCGGTGGCCTCTAGCCAAGCAGAGAGCTCAGGTCTACCCCAGTTCACTGAGATGTATTAGTAATGGTGCCTGCAGTGAGATTTATGAGTTGGGATCAGCTGACAGAGAGCTTTGTATCCTACCCTGAGAGGTCTGTCATTTGTCCTCTGTCCTGAAGGCAAGCAAGGATCCACAGGTATGTATGAGAAGGAAGGGGATGGGTAGCGTCCAGATCTTGAAAGCAGAGCTCCTGCAGCAGCTGAAGGGATGTGGAAGAAGGTGGGTGGGGTCAGAGGTGACTCAGTTCCTCCAGCCCAGATGTCTTTGTGCCAGGGAAACAATCTAAGTTTGGGACACACTTAGTTTGTCACTAATTTTGATGCCTTAGTTGAAGAAACCAAAGTGACCAAAATTGTAGGAATCTAGGCAAAATACTAAATCATAGACTCTTTCTTAAACTTGATTTTGAAAAAAAAAAGTTTCACTGATATGCATTTGCCACCCACGAAGGTGGTCTGTGATGAATATCAGTGGCTCCTGAGCACTGCTATGCCAGACGGTAACTAAGTTTTCACTGATATGTGGGGAAATGAAATATTTCAGTGTCCTTATTTTGGGGATGTTAGAATACTCTTATGAAATCAAGATGATAGGAGATTCGTAATTGGCTTTTGTCTTATTTTGCTTTTTAAATGCCCTTCCTTAAGGGGCGCCTGGATGGCACAGTTGGTGAAGAGTCCCACTCTTGATTTCAGCTCAGGGCTTGATGTCAGGGTCTTAAGTTCAGTCCCCGAGTTGGGCTCCATGCTGGGTGTGGAGCCTACTTAAAAAAAAAAATGCCCTTCCTTGACACTGAGAAGAGTTGGCTCCATGTCTGTGTCGTCTAAAAGTTTAGAAGCCACTGATTGCTACTAACTCAGTGTGGTAGGAATAGCAGCTGCAGCAGATGTAAATTGTATCTTGAGGGTATACACAACAGAAAATCCTCATCATCTTTTAGCATTGTGTGTAAATCTCTGAATCACTTATGTGTGTGGGTCCTGCCGTGAAAGTGAAGTGGTGCCACGATGCTCTCTGGGTGGCGCCCATTCAAGTGGAACTTGATTGCAGCTTGTGCAAATTTAGAAGCCATTTTGGTTACAGATGCAAAGTGACCAACTGCTTTAGAGAAGCCCACTTACATAGATTAACTTCACTTGGAATCAGAGCATCATTTTTCTTTCATAGGAACAATGTAGTTCAAAATTTAACATGCATTTATTTTACTCAGGCAAATAGAGAGAAGAATATGAAAAACAGTCATTCCTTTTTGCCATTGTCCTTGGGGGTCTGTCAACACCAGGGGTGGTGACCCTTCTGATTCTCTGGGCCCCCCAAGTTCTTAACCACATCTCTTTCTCTCCTAATCCCCCAAGTTAGGAGCCCTGGTTTCCTTCCTCTTACCCGAAATGCATCTATGTTCCCACCCATACTTTCCTTCGTAGTATAATAAACCGGTGTTGGGACTTAGGAAGCACTGTCACAAAGCTGAGCATAGCATGGCTTTTGCTCTTGAACTTGCTGTCAGACAGGAGATTGGCACCCAGCAAAAACAATGCAAGTTAGCTTTATGGGGTGGGAGTTTCACCGAGTTTGCAGTGCTTGTTCATTGTTCTAGGAATTCTCAGCCTGGACCTAGAAAGAATTTCGTTTTTGAAGCTCTGCTTAGTTTTGGTTGTGGTTTTTGCTTTTTATCACTGGATGTTGGCAGTTGCATAAATGAGCTTCCCTCTTAATTCCCAGTGTATTTGCCTATTTCTCTCTCTCCATAGGAGATATATACCTAATTCATGTACTTTTTTTTTGCTACATTTCACATGGCTATAATGCCACTTCCCAGAAAGGAAGTGTAATAAATTTAATATCAAAATATCTTTACATAGTCATTTAGTGATTTACATTTTCTTTATGTAGTTTTTCTTGATGTTTAAACAACACATCACATTGCAGAAAATCCTCACCCACAATATTGCAAGGCAGGTTGATGCCTAACTCTCCATTTTACAGATGAAGAACCTGAGGCTCAGAAAGTTCCCAAGGTTGTTCCCAAGGTTGCATGGCTCATAAATGGTACAGTTTTCCTTTGACCCTTGAGTTTTCTCTGGCTCCAAAACCTGCGGGCTTCCCATGGTGCTGTGTCCATCTTAAGTCTGTCTCCAGGCCTTGGTGTGGTACTCCCTGGGACCATGCTTCCCTGAGACCAGTGACATTCTGTTGCACAGTAAGAAAAGGTCCTGTAAGATCCTGCATAAAAGACTCTTCTGAGTAATGCAGGGAATTTTAAAATTATTTTTAGAGACGTAGCCGTTAAAGTGGAAGAGGCTTAAAAAATGGAGGCATAAAATGGAGGCATTCAGTACTTAAAGTTATATCGGGGTTATTTGGAACTTGTCCACACCTAGAAGAGCCCACCATGTATCCATGTTGTACAGTGAAGGTGAGCACAGGACACAGTGGGACCGTGGAGGGAGGCTTAAGTCACAGTTCCTGGCCAGATGTCTGCTGAAACACATTTTCCTTCTGTCCTTGCATATGCCACACATAATTGGTGTTTGACCTGTTGAAGCTCTCCCACCAATCCCTTTTCTCTGTGTCACAGTCTTACCACTTAAGGTCCCACCCAAGTCCTTCTACAAAACCCTGAGCTGTCCCTCTACCAAACCTATTTAGCACTGATTATCTGTACCCCACTTTATTGTTTATTGTTCTCTAATTGTTTCATGAGTCTTTTCTCTCCAACCAAATTATAAGCTGCATGAGGGCAAGGAATATGTGTCATACGTCTTTTGGATCTTCCTCAGAGTATAGCGCCAAGGTAGGTACAAAGTAGGTCCGTAGTAAAACTTGCCTTGGATCGCTCAGAACCCCAAACACTGTGAGCACTTTCTACGTATCTTTGTGTGTGTAGCGCCCATGTTGCCAGAATTCTTCTCTCTTGGGTGCCTGTGGAAAGACTCCATTGAGAGGTCTGTGTTTGGTATTTTAGGATGCAGTGTCATACCAGGATGTTGTGAACCTGACTGAGGACAGGAAGCCTCAGAACCCGATTCAGGACAACATGGAGAACTATAGGAAGCTGCTTTCTCTGGGTAAGCAGCTGCTTCTGTCAGTTACTCCAGACCTAGTCATTGAAGCTTTTTGTCACCTTATTTTTAAAGCTGCGGGATATTAGAGTTGATGTTAATATATTTGGACTTTAAGGATAATAAGAAGCTTTTGAAATATTTCAAGGAGAGAAGTAAATGATGAGATTTCTATTTTTGAGAAATCATTCTGGCTTTGCGTGAAGAGTGTATTTGTACAAGGTGGAAGAGAATGGAGAGATGTCTCTTGCCACAAGAGTTGGTACTTTTTTCTAGAGAGGTGGCAGTGAAGATTTTCAAATACACATGTAGAATGGGATCCTGAGTTCCCGTTTGGACTGTCCTCGAAGTCATCTAGCTCCAGTCATAGCAGGCAGTTGGCTATGCAGGTCTGATGCTGGGGAGAGAGACTGTGCAAGGCAGTGGAGTTCAGAGAACAGCTGGAGAAAAGAGTCAAGGAAGAAGAGAACCATGGAAGCCAGTGAAAAAGAGGGTGTCAGGATTTAAAAGGTGGTTACAGAAGGGTGAAGACTAAAAAGGATGCACTGGATTTAAGGACACAGGTGGTCTCTGTACAGATTTCTAGGTGGAGTCAGGAGAATTAATTAAAATTCAGGCTAGAATGGGCTGAGAAGTGGACAGTAAGGATTTGGGACTGCACATAGAAGACGTTCAAGGAGTTGGGTATGGGCTACCTCCTGTTTAGTGGATTGTAGGGAGGTAGGCACCATTTTATGGTGATGAGTCTTATACCTAACTTGACTATAGCTATATAAGTGATAAATCATATTATTCTTGTGAACAGGGGTTCAGCTTGCCGAAGACGATGGCCACTCCCACATGACACAAGGCCATTCATCGAGGTCAAAGAGAAGTAGTGCCTACCCGAGCACCAGTCGAGGTAAGCACTAGGCAGATCGCAGCTAGTGGCCACTTTAGGTAGTGAGATGGGAGCTATACTAGGTAGTGAGATGGGAGCTGTACGTACATATTGGTAAATCTCTTACATTTTATATTCACACCATCATCCCAGAAGTCCCACTGTTACTTCGCACATGTACAGGGACTAGGGAGTATTTACATTTGGGGTTTCTTTTAAGGTCTGAAAACCATGCCTGAAACCAAAAAGTCGACCCATCGGCGGGGAATTTGTGAAGATGAATCTTCCCACGGGGTGATAATGGAAAAATTCATCAAGGATGTTTCACGCAACTCCAAATCGGGACGGGCCAGGGAATCTAATGATCGGTCACAGAGATTCCCCAGAAGACCAGACAATGATTGGAAAGAAGTTTCATTCAACAAGAGGGAGTCGGTGATTCAGGAGAGGGGCTATGAAGGGAATGCCTTTGGGGGAAGCTATAATTTTAACTCGAGTCTTGTTTCCAAAAAGAGAGTTCTTGAAAGAAAAAGGCGCTATCAGTTTGACACAGATGGGAAGGGCTCAGTTCATGAGCAGAAAGGCTATGCAAGGAAGAGACCTTTTGAATGTAGTGAAATGAGAAAAGCCATGAGCATGAGCAGCCTTAGTGCCCCCTCCTTCACTGAGTCGCACCCACTCGATTTTGGGGCAATGCCTTATGTGTGTGATGAGTGTGGGAGGTCTTTCAGTGTGATTTCAGAATTTGTCGAACATCAGATCATGCATACTAGAGAGAATCTCTATGAGTATGGTGAATCGTTTATTCATAGTGTGGCTGTCAGTGAGGTTCAGAAAAGTCAGTCTGGGGGGAAACGCTTTGAATGTAAAGAGTGTGGGGAAACCTTCAATAAGAGTGCCGCTCTTGCCGAACATCGGAAAATTCATGCTAGAGAGCATCTTGCAGAATGTAATGATGAGGAGTATGAGGAGCCCTTCATGCCTAGCCCAACCTTCAGTGAGCTTCAGAAAATATATGGGAAGGATAAATTCTATGAATGTAAGGTGTGTAAGGAAACCTTCCTTCATAGTTCTGCCCTGATTGACCACCAGAAAACCCATGGTAGAGATGACAAAGATAATGAGCGTGGGGAAGCCTTTAAACCCAGCCCACCCCTTAGTGAGGTTCAGAAAATGTATGGGAAAGAGAAAATGTATGAATGTAAGGTGTGCGGGGAGACCTTCCATCATAGCTCATCCCTGAAAGAACATCAGAAGATCCACACTAGAGGAAACCTATTTGAAAGTAAGGGTAAAATGTGTGAGGAAACCTTTATTCCTGGTCAGTCCCTTAAAAGGCGTCAGAAATCTTACTCCAAAGAGAAGCTCTATGACTTTAAAGATGGTGGGGATGCCTTTAGGCAAAGCTCAGACCTCAGTGAGCATCAGAAAATTCATTCTCGAAAGAACCTCTATGAAGGCAGAGGGTACGAGAAGTCTGTCATTCATAGCGTGCCCTTCACTGAGTCTCAGAAGAGTCATACTATAACCAGACCACCTGAAAATGAGGAGGACGAGAAGACGTTCACCGTCAGCTCCAACCCTGATGACAACCAGAAGATTCCTACTAAAGAAAATGCCTGTGAGAGGAAACCATATGAGAGGTCTGTTATTCATAGCTTAGCCTTTGCTAAAGCTCAGAAAAGTCACAGTGCAGTGGGGCCTAGTAAATCACAAGTGATTGCAGAGTCTACCCAGACCTCAGGTGTTCTCGAACATCAGAAAGTCCATGCTGGAGAGAATTCCGAAGGAAAGAAATATGAGAGGTCTGTTATCCATAGCTTAGCTGCTTTCAAACCTCCCAAAAATTACAATGGAAATGAAGCCGTTGAATGTGATGAAAAGGGAGAATCCTCTACTTACATCTCAGACCTTCGTGATAAGCAACAGAAAACTCCTGCCAGAGAGAACCCTTATGAAGGGGCTAAGAGTAACAACTACAAGGACTCCGTTATACAAAGTGTATCCCGTATCGAACCTCAGAAAAGCCTTACTAGTCCCGGGTCCAGTGAATCGTCTGTTCCCAGCTCAAATGTCCGGGAACATCAGAAGGCTCGTGCTAAGAAAAAAAACATTGAGCGTAGGAACTATGAGACCTCTGTAATTCACTCCCTACGTTTTGGCGAACCTCAAACATTTCGCCCTAGAGAGAAATTCTATGAATGTCCAGAGTGTGGAGAATCCTTTGTTCGTAGCTCCGACCTCACTGAGCATCAGAAGATTCACGATAGAAAGAAGCCCTCTGGAAGTAAAAACTATGAACGATCTGTAATTCGCAGCTTAGCCTCTACTGACCCCCAGACAAGTTATGCTGAACAAGCACAGACAAGTTATGCTGAACAGCCAGGGCAGATGAGATACTCTGAACAGCCAGCACAGGCGAGTTACACTAAGCAACCAGCGCAGGCGAGTTACACTAAACAACCAGCGCAGGCGAGTTATACTAAACAACCAGCGCAGGCAAGTTATACTAAACAAGCAGTGCAGGCGAATTATGCTAAACAACCAGCGCAGACAAATTACATTGCCCACCCAGTGCAGATAAGTTACTCTGAACACCCAATGCAGATGAGTTACACTAAACAAGCACCACAGATGAGTTACACTAAACAA